TTATTATTCAATAATAATTTTGATTTTGAGGATCCCTGAGAGAGTCTTGAGGGATCCCCCCAAGATCTTAAGACTACACTTTAAGAAAGACTGTTATAATGTATATATGGGACTGAGAAGCAATTCCCTTCCTAAGACAACAAAAATATACACTTAACCTCCTGGTTCAAAGCTTGTATGACCACTGAGGTCTTTAATGCCTTATGAATGGACAGTAGAATCATTGACATCTGATCTCCAAAAAGATCGTACAAGGCAAGCACAGCAATAGAGAAAGCACAACTCATGTTGTCCCCCAGGTAATGTCGTTTAATAGACAGAACTCAGAATATAGCTAGATGATAGCAGTAGGGCTCACAGACATTAAATGGTTTTTCTAAAGACCAGAAATACACACATATACAAGTGGAAGAAACAGAAGAAATACTTAACAAAATCTTACCAATTATTAAATAAAATGTTTTCAGATGAGTATGTTTTTTGTATACTATTGTATATTGCATAGTGAAACAAATGTCTTATACTAGCATCTTAAATGATGGACCAATAATAAATCCCAATAAATCTAATTTACATTTGTCTTGGCTCAGAGAGGTCAGGGCAGTGTGAGAATAGCTAATCCAACTGATTCTCAGTCTCTATAATCCAATCTGGCATCTTGACCACTACACTGAACTGGCTTTTGGTGATTAAAGAATTTTAAATCTCCCTTTTCTCCTTTTCTTTTAGAGTGAGGGAGCAAAACAAAATTATGCAGAATGACTTCATTACAACTTCACAGTTTTCATCAATGCTTTTTGCTTGGTTTTTTTTTGGGGGGGGTGGCGGGGGAGAAGAAGGGAAATATCATTGATGACCCTAATTTTTGATTACAAGGATTGTGTAAGGCCATTTAGTTGGTTATGAAGATTGTGAGACATTGTTAAATGATTGTTTGACTGGAGCAAGTCTCTATTTTGACAGAACATGAATCCAGCCCGTATTACATGGCATATTATAATGGACCTATTTATACTATTAGTTGATTATCCTAGGAAATTAGACTTTAATTATCCTACCTTTCATTTGTTTACAACTTCAAAGAATGAATCAGACACTGGGTGTTTACTAGTCCAGACAGGATCACATACCCTTGCTCAATTTTTCTTTCATCCCAAGAGAAGTGATTGTTTAAGCAAGAGCAGGGTGGAGCTGATAGTTCCACTAAAAACAAGTTGCCTCTGGATGACCCATATGCAATAAAACAGGAGATTCGTGTTACAATCGTAAAATGTTAAATGTAAAAACTAAATAATATGTCCCATTTGTACAATGATTCTTTAGTAAACAAGAAATGTGTATGCTATGAAATGCATGCATGTTTGTACATGCAGATAAA